TTTCTTTAGAAATGTAGTCAGAAGGCAGGCCCTCCTCTAGTGTGTCTTCTTCATTTTTTGGTGCCCCCTCATCTAATATATGAGAGGTAGTGGTTGTTTCTACTGGTGATGGAGGCAGGAGTACTTTGCTGAGATAGGGATGGGCCTCGTTTACTGCACCCATGCGGCGAAGATCGGAATAGAGTCCAGCATAGGTTTGCCGGAAGAGGAGGCCGTCTCCAGAAACACGACGCCAATCGGCCATAATAGCACCAGCCATGTGGTAAAGGAGAATACGAAAAGCCGTTGGGGGATGCTCAGGGTTGCGGATCTCCACCTGGCCCAAAAAAGGAACAGTAAAACCTTATGTAAGAGATATGTTCAGCAGAAAAATATAGTAAATTTGATTCTTTTTTTATTGCTGAGTGTCATATCAATGAGAAAGGAAGAAAATAAAAATATACAATTAAGTTTATCACTACTTGGGAGAATTGAAAAGAAAGAAACCAGACAGAGAAAAAACATGATTAGGTATAGCTCACAAATTTCCCATTGACCTAAAATATATCTTTAAAAACCTAGATATAAAGTAAAAGAGTGACTGAATGTGTGAATTATAGGAAAATCTTAATAGCAATGAATGACTGCCAGAATGAGGCATATATATATATATCATTGTGTGAAAATTCAACTATTTATCCTTTAGCACTGTATACGACCTAGGGTGAAGTTGTGTGGAAAAAAGTTAGATTCCCCGCACTAATGGGGGCAGAGTAATTGTCAAGTTAACAAAATGCAGACACAAGAACTTGCAAAGGGAGCTTGGCGAACAACTATATGACCAAATTTGGGGAACGCTATTTGGAATAGACAATACTAAATCCTAGATTGTAGGTTAGATACATGGATAACTATTTTGTCATCTAGCTTCATCGTAAAGAATTCTTCGATAGTGTCATACTTTCACTTAACCAATGTGAAAGGAACATTAGGTCCAAAATAAAAAAAGAAGAGGATAGGTCCTTGCCCTTTTTGGATATTCTGATCATTAGAGAAAAGGGTGACTTAGGAAAAGTTACTTATAGTAAATCAACGTATGTTAGCTTTTTTTAGAATTTTCTTTCCAACCATACATACATAAATAAGGTTGGAGTTATGAAGTCAATTATTATAAGGAGTGAGACCAGTGGATAGCAACCATTTGGCTAAGGAGTTAAAATGAATTAAGGATTTATTCTGAAAAATAATTATCCTTTGGGCCTAATTGGTAATAGTAATTGTTCACTGAGGAATAAATTTTCAGACGGAGACTATTTAATCAGACACAGCTGAGACCTTTTCTGATCAACTAATTTTGTCTTCATGCCTTCGTATCAAGAAGATAGACAGACTAGTAAAAAAGTGGGGTATAAAAAAGGTGCTTAAAGAAAGCCCTACACTTTCTTCTGCTTTGCCATCTTTTATAGAGAAATATAACCATTTTTGTGATCCGGTTGCTAAAAGATTGTGTTTCTGTGATCGACCTTATGCTGACAAGATATGCGGACCTATTCACCAAAGACTAGAACATAACACATAAAGGGAGCTGGGTTCAAAGATCAGAAGTGGGCGAACATATGACAAAGACTGGACATAAGATAGAAATGAGTAGGCTGACTGAGTATGGTATGTTTGCTCTTAAAAGTAAGATATGAGA